GATCTCATATCTACAGTAAATTTATGTGATATTTCCAGTAAATTTAATATATATTAACTTCACTGTAATATTTAGTCATTTGGGTCATTGGAAATTGTATTGGTGTAGGAAGATAAAAAATGGAAAAAGATAGCATGGATGGAATTATACGTGACAATAAATAATTCAGATAAAATTGACTGATGAAAGATGAATAAGAAAATATATTTATATTTAATAGAAACCTGAACTAAATTGGTAAATGAGTTGGAAGGTAAGCATGCTAACCCAAATTTGAATGGGGAAAAAAGTGAACAATAGTTGTAGTAGTTGTTTATATTCAGTGATGGGAATAACGGCGTTACTAGTAACGGCGTTACTAACGCCGTTACTTTTTTCAGTAACGAGTAATCTAACTAATTACTTTGACAGTAACTATAACGCCGTTATCATTTCCGACATCCCGTTACTGCGCGTTACTCAAGACGCACAATGAACGTGTTGTCATGAGAGAAGGGAGGATGAGAAAACCTCTCAGCAATTATTGGCTGATGTAAATCATATTTCTTTACAATCTACATGTCTACAGTTGAGAGGATGGCTCATAAATTGTGTTTTTGAAACAAATATGGGTCTTAATCGCGCTCAACCACGGCTTGTATCACCGTGAGGCCAGCCTCAGAGGAGCGCATGTGAGCGCAGAAGTCGGCTGCATACAATTCCATCGATAAGCTCCTTTCTCTTCCTGGTTTATCTGCTAAGGACAGCAACAGGTTTGGCTAACATACATATAACACATCTTTACATAATCTAAAATGCACATAGGGTAATTTTTCAATTACTATAGGAATGATAAGAAAGAGAGGTGAAGTGTAGACGGTTGATTTTAGAAATTGGATGCACTCGGCTGCCGCTAGCAAAACACAGGAGTTTATGGAGGACACACGCGTTTTGTTTTACTTTTTAAAACTCATTGGACTCATTTCCAAATGGAGGATTACATATCTACGCTCAAACCATTAACTGGATTTAAACAAGGAAATGGTCTGAACGGAAGTGGGCTGTGCAGGTCATTTATAAGGTATAGCTATAAGGTAAGACCCATAACTCATAGTTTTGCGTTTTGTATGAACAAACAATGCGGGCATAAAACATATTTTGCTGTAGCCAAACAAATTGTCCACTTGATTTATATGATGTATATGTTCATCTGATTGGACTGAAGTCAGTGCTTCACCAGCCTCACCGCTCGTCACCGGTGTTTCCACATTCACAGTGGAGCGTGTTGGTGTTTAGTGCTTACACAGAGACAGATGAAGAGTGAACAGGACTTCAGCAGCAAAACAGCCTTTTCTAGATGGAAATATTGGCACTGTTAAAGGTAAAAATGCGCACGTCGGGTGCACATTATGTTCCAGAACAAAACGAAAAAGTAACGCAATAGTTACTTTTACTGGTAACTAGTTACTTTTATAGTGGAGTAACTCCGTTAGTAACTCAGTTACTTTTTGGGAGAAGTAACTAGTAACTATAACTAATTACTTTTTCAAAGTAACGTGCCCAACACTGTTTATATTGTAGTTGTGGGAATCATAGTGACTGATTGATAATATATTTTATTTAACTGATTGATTTTTATTCGCACATACATATTGCCAAATTCAAATGACGGTGGAATACAATCACTGTGAAGCAAAATGAAAAAGTTATACATGTAGGTTGAGTTAATGTTGTAGAATTCAATTTCAGATGGAGGGGAGGAGCCAATACAGCAATTTATGAAGAAAGACATTTTGAAAATATAGTGATTAGATTCACAAACCCACTATATTATTCTGAAAGTACTTCCAACATCATGCAATATTCATACAATCACCACTTCATGACACATTTATGAGAATATAACTAGATCAGATTATGCACTGACATAGAAGATGTTTTTTTTTCATGTGAATTATCCCAGGAATTACATTAGACATTAGCTCTCAACTAAGACCAGAAATCTGACTTCTGTACTGTTCCGTTACCATAGTTACCAGGAACAATTTTTAACCCGACCCCCACCACAATTTTAAACGACTATAGGCTCTTTGGAATATTGTGATGTCACATGAACACAACCTATCAACACGTGAGTCCTCGGTATTCAAGTGCTCAGAAATGAAAACAAATAACTCAACAAGGGGTAGGTGCCTGAGTAGTAGAAGTAGTAGAAGTAGTAATAGTGGTGGCAGCAGTAGCAGTGGTAGTAGCATTAGCAGTAGTTGTATTAGTAATAGTAGTAGTAGTAGTAATTTTTTGGTCTCACATGTGCATACTGTAGTAGTAGCAGCAGCCACTTGTGGGTGGCTGAGTGGATGGCACTCTTGCTTCTCAGCAAGAAGGTCCTGGGTCTTTCTGAGTGGAGTTTGCATGTTCTCCCCGTGCCTGCATGTAGGTTTCCTCCGGGTGCTCCGGTTTCCCCTACCACTAAAAACATGCATCCATCCACTACCCTTTAATCCATTTGTGGGTCAGTCGGGGGGGAATCAGAGATGCCACCCAAGTCTCATAGCACCAGCCCCTCACTGACCCTCTGCAGGTGGTGAGTCCACAGGAGGACAGCTGCTCTCTGAGTGTGAGCATAGCCTTGATCTTTCAGTGGGGGCTTTGGGAAAAGTGGGGTTAAGTGTCTTGCCCAAGGACACAACGACAGCAGTCATCAGTGGGAGTCGGAGGAGAAGGTGTAGAGGTGGGAATTGAACCCACAACCTTCAGGCCTGAAGGCCAATGCTCTACCAACTGAGCTACTGTCACCCATAAAAACATGCACGCTTGGTTAAATCCTCCAGCCCCAGTAATCCTGACCAAGCCAAGCATCAACACCTGGAGATGGGTTCCTGGGCGCTGTACTACGGCGATCACTGGGCCTGACGTAAACCAAGTGGCATCAGGATGGGTCGGATGCAGAGGAAGAATTTTCCTACCGGGACAAATCAAGTGCACCTTTAACAGTAGTAAAATAAAAAAAATAAAAAATGGTTGTTGTAGTAGCAATTTTCACATATGGTCCCACATATGTGCATACTGTAGTAGCAGCAGTAGTAGTAGTAGTAATTTGCAGTTTTGTGTATACATACTGTATACTGTATACATTTAAATACAATTTGATATCGTTTTAAAACTCAATGTTATGACATTGTTCTGATATCATAATGACAATAAAGTTGAATCTAATCTCATTTTTATTAATAGTTTATTTCAGAGTGAGTTTGAGATGTTTGTTTTTAAGCCTGTTCTATAGTTAACAGCATTAGAAGTCAAAGTGGTAGTAGTAGTAGTAGTACATGGTAGTAGTAGTAATTGAAGTAAAAGCATTAGTTTTTGGTGACAGTGGATCTTGTTGCAGCCTGCACCACTTCCCTTTCCGCACTGAAAGCACATTATCACATCCACCCACCTTTTCCAATCTCTGTGCAGCTCACAACACTGCACTAATGACTTCTGCGTATTTGTTGTAAGAGTAACAAGAGTTAATAGAACACAATGTTTTGTAATCTGGATATAATAGAAAATGTGTCACGCTTTTTATTACTGGCGTTATTGGATTATGATCTCGTGTTATATCTTGGAGTGTAAGCCAGTGTAGCATTGTGGAAGAAGAAAAGAAACAAACTAAACTAGGTGTAAATCATTTTTGCTTTAGTTGCTGCTTTTTTAAACTGCAGCCACTGTTCCATTTGCAAAACCCAAATGAATCCAACTTGAAAAATGAATATGATTCCAACTGCCTCTAATTCGTCCATCAATTCAATTAAATAAAAATATGTGCATTGAATCAATATACTTCCAGATTCTCAACTTGCTTTGCTTCTACATTCATCTGGCAAATCAGCATGGTGTAAATAGAACAAACAAAAGTAATAGATTACAACTTGAAGCATACCCAAAACTCAAAGTCCATTTACTTAAAACGTGAACTTGATCATCACAGACTTCAGCTTGTAAAAAAGCCAAATATAACATTTTAGAACATGGGAATGGGCGACAGTGGCTCAGTTGGTAGAGCATTGGCCTCTGAGCCTGAAGGTCGCGGTATCGAGCCCACCACAAGCCCACCACAAGACCTACTTCACGACGCCCGCTGATGACTGCTGTAGTTGTGTCCTTGGGCAAGACACTTAACCCCACTTTGCCTGAAGCCCCTGCTGAAAGATTAGGGCTCCTGTGGACTCACCACCTGCAGGAGGATCAGTGAGGGGCTGGTGCTACAGTATGTGTACTGGGTGCAGCTCTGACTGCCACCCTCTGACCCAGAAATATGGATTAAGGGGAAGAAAATGGATGGAGAACATGGGAATACTGTGAGCCATACGTTTTTACAAAGAAAGGCTCGATAAATCTCAATTTTCCTGTCTATATGTAGGCGAATATTACAAAAATACATTATAAAACATTTAGCCCAAAGAAATGCAGGATTCTGTTAGATGGATGGTATTGCCGACCCCTGTTTAAATCGAAATTCTGCAATATAATTTGCAAAGCATTGTGGTTGATGAGGTAGAAAATTGTTTGAATAGCAGTTATTGTTCTGAAGATATGCTATAGCCGTACATTAGAAAACATATCAATAATTATAAAACTCTAACCATAAAAATATACAAATTTATAGACATTTTAAATGCAATTAAAATGTCTATAAATGTTTTTATTTGCATTTATATACAACAGGATATATTTTGATATGCAACTCTTTATTCTCAACCAGCACAATTTTATTGGATGTGTAAATGCTGTTATCAAAATACTCCACCCCTAATACCCAGCCTTTTTTCAATTTGTGTACATTAACAAAATTGCTTTGTTGACAATATCATTATTTAGAGCACTCCCAGCTGAACTGTGTTGTGATGTTCCCTTTGAACCAAATGGATGTCTGTGGAACACACTTACCTCTCTCCTCTTTTTTCCTTTTGTCCACTTACTCATACTCTCTGTCCTTTGTTGTCTTACAGAGATCACCATCATCGGATGAACTATGAATGCTGAACAAGATGATCTCCACCCTCCCGCGCCAGACAATGAGAGGTGCTAGGCTGAAAGGGGCCCTGTCCGACCCCCTGTTCGTGGTGCTCTTGGCTCTTCAGATCTTGGTGGTTGCCGGACTCGTGCGTGCTCAGACCTGCCCCTCCGTGTGTTCCTGCAGCAACCAGTTCAGCAAAGTCATCTGTACCCGTCGGGGGCTGCGAGACGTTCCAGATGGCATATCCACCAATACCCGCTACTTGAACCTCCAAGACAACCTGATCCAGGTCATCAAGGTGGACAGTTTTAAGCACTTGCGCCATCTTGAGATCCTGCAGCTGAGCAAGAACCACATTCGCAGCATTGAAATTGGAGCGTTCAATGGATTGGCCAGTCTTAACACGTTGGAGCTTTTTGATAACCGCCTCACGACAATCCCCAACGGAGCTTTCGAGTACTTGTCCAAGCTGAAGGAACTATGGCTAAGGAACAACCCAATTGAAAGTATACCTTCCTATGCCTTTAACAGGGTCCCATCACTACGTAGACTCGATCTAGGCGAGCTGAAACGTCTCTCCTACATTTCGGATGGCGCTTTCAAGGACTTGTCCAACCTGCGCTACTTGAATCTTGGGATGTGCAACCTAAAAGAGATTCCAAATATCCTTCCGTTGATCCGGCTGGAGGAACTGGAGATGTCCGGGAACCAACTTGCTATCGTAAAACCCAGTTCGTTTACTGGACTCGTCAATCTTCAAAAGCTGTGGATGATGCACGCGCAGGTCCAAACCATAGAGAGGAACTCCTTCGATGATCTGCAGTCTCTGGTGGAGCTCAACTTGGCCCACAACAACCTTACGTTTTTACCCCACGACCTTTTCACGCCGCTGCACCGTCTTGAGCGCGTTCACCTCCATCACAACCCTTGGAACTGTAACTGTGACATCCTATGGCTCAGCTGGTGGCTCAGAGAAGCAGTGCCGGCTAACACCAGCTGTTGTGCCCGATGCAATGCTCCTTCAGTCTTCAAGGGTCGCTACATTGGCGAACTCGACCACAGCTATTTCCAGTGCGACGTACCGGTCATTTTGGAGCCACCCACGGATCTGAACGTGACGGAGGGAATGGGAGCCGAGCTGAAATGTCGTACAAATTCGTTAACGGCAATTTCCTGGCTCACCCCGAATGGATCCCTTGTAACGCACGGTGCTTACAAAGTTCGGTTAGCAGTCCTCAACGATGGAACGCTAAACTTCACGACCGTCACGATGCAAGACACAGGAACGTACACATGTATGGTGAGCAACACGGCTGGGAACATTTCTGCCTCAGCTGTGCTCAATGTCAGCTCTGTGGATAACAGCGGCGTCACCTATTTCACAACCGTTACTGTTGAAACCATCGAGACCATTGGCGATGAAAGCCATACCCCACTTCCTCCCTTCGGCTGGGTGTCATCGTCGACTACCAAAGGCACCCCGGTCTCTACAAAAACCACAGAGCGGACTTACACTATACCGGTTCTGGACATGGACAGCGAGGGAACGTTCACCGGATTGGATGAGGTGATGAAGACGACAAAGATTATCATTGGGTGTTTTGTCGCAATCACGCTAATGGCCGCAGTGTTGCTGGTGATTTTCTACAAGATGCGGAAGCAGCACAACCAGCAGGACCCTGACGGGCCAGCCTCGTCCATGGAGGTGATCACAGTGGAGGAGGAGCTGGCGGGGGTGGCAGCCATGGAGAGGCACCTGAGTCTGCCCCCGCTGGACCATTACAACCATTACAACACGTACAAGAGCTCATACCACCATGCGCCAATGCTCAGTACCTTACATAGCTCGGTCACGCAGGAACCTTTGCTCATCCAGGCATGTTCCAAAGACAACGTCCAGGAGACCCAGATCTGAGCAGTGGCCGGGCTAACCACACACACAGTCACACACATATTTGGAATACGGTACGGTCAACATTTCAAAGATAAATGGATCCTTATCATAGTAAGTTGATGTCGATGAGGACAATAAATCAGCGTTTGAAAAAGGGACTTTAAATGATACTTTAACAATGTCTTTCTAAAACAAAGATTATTTATTAAAAGTATGTCTAGTGGCTAAATGAAGACATTTTTGTGATAGCTTTTGAGCTTATTTGATTTGATTTCTGTGTAAAACTGCACAAGGGAAAGAATGGTTGATTAAGACGTTTGGGTAGAGCTATGAGAGTCATGGGAGTGGGTCTTTCATCTTCATTTGTGAGGGAATTTCCACCAAACTTATCAATGATTTGCAGCTTTTGGGTTTCTCAAAATGGACAAAGGCTTCCACCCTTTTCTGAACCAAGATATGAAATGTGAAGAGGTCACGTTCTGAATAGTACTGTTGTCCTGACAATATAATACACGTATAGAGTGCAAGGGCGAAATAGCAAGACGCAATTTCAAATAAGGTCAGTTATTATTTTGGTCCATTTGTGTGATGGTCAAGGCAATTTCGCTGAGAATAATAACTCCATCATTGATCATTATTCAGTTCAGAACCTTTAATGCTATTTGAAGTAGGTTTTCACAAAAATACACAACCATTTTATCTCAGAAGGTACATAAATTGTCTACACATCTCAACAACACTTTCCACAATATACGTTTCTCTTGTTGCTAGCGAGAGTATAACTCACAATTGTTTGAGAGATAACAGTTTTCCTTATTATTCCTTGACATGTATTATATTGATTGATAATTAAGCGTCACAATGGTTACATGTATTTTAATTACCCTGGGTCGGCATCACGTTAATGGATGACCAGTCGAGCGTGATACTTCTTTGAGGCATGTTGGCAATTTTCCAAAAGCCAACCATTCCATAATCAACATTACAGACTTGGCTTAACATCACAAAAATGTCCAATACAATTATCTACATTTCACTTCCGATGTATTTGGTGGCATAACTGTTTTCTGTATTTGTTCCATTTTAGAGGGATTCATGTGGGTTGAGTTTATCATTTATTTTTTTATTTTTTGCTTCCTTTGTTCAAAATCTGTGGTCTGCCAACGTCACCCATCACTGTCTTTCCCGCTGCAGAATTATAGAGCAGAGCTGGCAATAACTCCCACATAGCATTTTTTAAAACAACAGGCTGCAAAGCTGTTGTGCGATCGCTGCCCTAGGGCTATGTGACAAAGACATGGCCGTGGATCTGCTCTGATTTCAATAACCACTCTTACAACCGGTACTGTTATTGTATAAGCTTTGTGTCAGCCAGCCGGACACTGGTCACGGACATGGTTAAGGACAGAAGGAAGCCATGTGAAGCTGCCCCCTTTAACCTGGTAATGGTGTGTGTCCGCTCAGTGTAGCATCACCTCCAGACACCCAGGGGTCAGCCTCGCTTCGCCGCTGATCTGACCATCTGTTTGCGAATAGAAGACAAAATACAAGAAACAAGCCATTCCAGTCCATAAAGAGCCATGGTTTTATTAAATTCAATTATTTTTTGTATAGCCCTAAATCACAACTGTGGTTATCTATGGAGGACTTTACAAAGTTGTAGATTCTCCAACACCGATCAGAGAATCAAACCCAGAAAATGGGGGAAGTTGACCAATGTACATAAATATCAATAGATGTTCATGAATGTTGATGAATTTTAATGCAATGGTAGAGGTTTGGTTTCAGCTTTGGTGTGGACACAAATGTAATGTTTTAAAAATATCTATGTCCTGCCCGGGAATTATACTTCAACCGCAAAACTACAGTTGGCCAGTCGTAACCACCGGACCATCAGCAAGAGCAAAATTTAAGGTGATGTCACTTCATACACCCCTCATAAATCTGGTGAAAACCTTGGCTTACGTTTCTCTTGTCTGCTCACGTTTGACGACGCACAGAGAAAACATATGCCACTGTTTTCTGACACTGGCTTCACTGATTGCTGACATTGCTTTCTGAAAAGTGTGCTGTGATAAAATGTATTATTCATGAAAGAAAAAAAGTTAGCCCATCTTTAAAGTTCAAACACAGTCGGTCGAATAGGTATTTTAAATGTATGGAATCTTATATTTGTTCACTTCAGAGGTCTTTGCAGCATCTACATCAGACATGTCAAACTCAGGCTCGTGGGCCAAATCCAGCCCGCAAGACCATTTTTAGTGGCCCCTAATTTGATTTTCAAATATTATTATTAACTTGAAGATTATGGGCTATAAGGCATGTTATTTTATTCTAACATTTTAACCCAACACATGACTTGACTTTTTTTCAGAAAGAGCAATCAGAAAGTAATAGTGAAACTTGTGTCACATGAAATCAGTATCAAAATACCTCCATACACTGCAAAAAGTGATACATTATAAATAAAAAATTGCCTATATTTAGCTAAATGCATTTTCGTTTGAGCACTTTCTGACTACCTTACAACAATATTTGCGTTTTAACACGGTCAGAATGTGCTCCGATTAAGATTTAAAAAAACGTTATTCATGTAAATATTACCATATGTTGTCATGTTTGGCAGTGTAATGCAAACATCCCTGCTATTCTTTCGCCCCCGACCAGTTCCTATTGTTTTTTTTGGCCCCTGACCAAAATGAACCAACCCTGATGTACATTGACTGTCCATCTCTCTCCACTGTACTTTTTTTCCTTCATGTTTTAAACGCAGGTAAAACCGCTGCTAAACTTTGATCACGTTCCATTTAGTGCTTCAAAGACGCAAGTGTGTGGGGGAGTCATGAAGCTGCGCAAACACAGAGATGGGCAGATATGAAAGGACAGCAGCGAAAAACAGATAAGGAAAGAAGCAGGGAGAGAACTCGCCACGGGCCCGTTGTCATGGAAACACTGACCTTGCGCGAACAAAAAAAAAAGTGCGAGCCGTAGATGCCTTCTGCTTTCAAACCGCCGCTGTCAGACAAACGCACGGTTATTAATGATGGTCGATAACAGGAGCAGAGCAAAAACTGGAAAAGAACGAGGCGTCAGAAGTCTTAAATCAAAAAGTCCCCAAATTGGAGAATATTTGAGTTAAAATCTTTGAGTTAGAATCTTGGGAATTTCATTGGGCTGTCAATGATGGTCAGTTTGGTCGGTTGATGGTTTATTAGTCCACCAAGTTATACAGTAGGCGACTAATAATTAAGATGAAGAGATCCTTTATTATTCCCACTGTGGGGAAATGTCAGTGTTGAATCGCAAGTTACAGATGGAATGAGGAGCACACAGCACAAGAAAAATGAATAATAACTCTTTACTTTAATACATATGCAATCAACACAAAGCTGTATGTACACAGCTGTACATGTTAGCAGCATGAGGGTCTGGGACAAAGTGGCAAAATAAACTGGCAGTAGAATCTATATTGCCTATTCTAACATTAAAAAATCCCCAAAAAATCAATGGTTCACAGTTAAATATCCACGAAATATTTCAATTCCATTCTTTACCATTGTACAGCTATGACTATATTTATTTTGAACTACCTAAAAGAGTGGGGGGAAAAAAATTGGAGACCACTGCTCTGTTTGGCACTCAATCACAAGACGCAAATGAGCCTATATCCATTTTCCTCTTTAAAAGTACAATCATTTAATCAGAAGTAGATGAAACGTCTTAGTTGGGCCTCAGTTTGTTCCCTTTTGTAGACCCAACATTAAAAGGAACAGTATGTAGTTTGATAAAGCTATTACAATCACAATGCAAACGTTTGTTTAAACGTTTGTTTAAACTTGAGTTTAGGCTGAATACATATTAATGATGAGTGATGCAGTCAAAACCAGCTGGATTTCACCAAAGAAACTGGAAACCCCAATGACATCCTGCTGTCATCACGAGAACCACAATAGTAAATGTTCCATGACTCATTCACCGTTAGCTTCCATGACTCATTCACCGTTTGCTTCCATGGCTCATTCACCGTTTGCTTCCATGGCTCATTCACCGTTAGCTTCCAAGGCTCATTCACCTTTAGCTTCCATGGCTAATTCAACGTTAGCTTCCATGGCTAATTCACCGTTAGCTTCCGTGGCTCATTCACCGTTAGCTTCCATGACAAGTTCAACGTTAGCCCCATGACTATTCCCCTTCATCTATTTTGACGATAAACAAGTGTCTTATCGTTACTAAAACTTAAAGTAACGGGTTAGGGTGCAATGATGCAATGATTTCCAGACGCAATTTTTAAATATTGTGGGAAAACGTCACTTAACCCTAAAAGTAGTCAAGTTTTCATGTTTTTTCAAATAGTATCAATAATAGTCTCCAAAAATTAATAACAAATATTTTGGAGTGGACCGATAAGAATAAACCAATTGGATTTGTTCATCCCCAACGAACCAATGGGATGCGTTTAGCCCTTCACCCTCTTCCTGTTTCTCGCTAGTGTGTGCACCGGAGTTATCAGATTATTTTCTACAACTAACGGGGCCTTGTTGACCTTCTGTCTGAGGACACATATACACTGAAGCTGTAATGATTACCATATTCTTTCCGTTTGCATTTGTTATAAGTTATGTGTTTGATCCTGGCCAATAGTCATCTGTTTAAATGTGGCACACGTTGGGGACAATTTGTTAATTTGATACATTTAACAGGCTTCAAGTGCCTTCGATGCATAATAATCAATTACGCTGGAGGACATGTGCAACGTGCTTTTTATTTTATTTTACTTCTCCAAGCGACAAATCAGTCACCAGAAAAGTTACATGTCACATCTACGGAGAGGCAATACAATGTGATTTGCTAAAGTGTCTGTTTGTGTTTCTTCGGCTGATGGCGCAGTGGTTTGTGTCCTGGGTTCGACTCCACCTCCAGGCATGTTCTCCCCTTGTCTGCGTAGGTTTCCTCCAGGTGCTCCGGTTTTCTCCTACTACTAAAAACACGCACAATAGATCCAGCATGTGCCTCCTGGACAA